GTCACGCATTTGCTGAAGAATTTGAAGTCACGCCAGTTATTTTTGCGTGACAGAAAATGTCACGCAAATACGCATTTTACCTGGTAATTGTCAAGCAAAAATATTTCTGTAGAAAAATTTCTAAAAAAGATCGTCTACACAGCAAAAATACGAACGGCGGAAAAAAATGTACGCATTTCGTTCGGACTTTTCACGCGAATTACGTATATGTCACGCATTCCGTTCAAAATGTTTCGTACCTACCCCCGCCTACAGGTTTCCAGGCAAACTGTTTGAGTGATTCATTTGAAATTCTCAGGGATGTTTCTACCTATGAAAGTTTAGAACTGATTAGTTTTTTGGCATTCTGGGTAAATGTTAAGGTGGCCATTTGGGAAAATGGGAGCGCGAAAAATTTGAGGTGTTCAAAATTTGGCAAGATGTAATAAAATTTAAACCAAGGTGTTCAAAATTTGGATCAAGGTGTTCAAATTTGGACCAAGGTGTCCACATTTTGAGGGGAGGTGTTCAACATTTCCAAGTCACTCATGTTAGGTGTTCCCAAGTTGACAGGCCTGTTAATGGCATGGACGCATCCTGATGTTCATAGATCTCTCTCTCACTTTGAATTGCATCCATTGCATGGCGTTACCAGAATGGCAGGAATGGGAGATTTATTTTACATTGTGATTCTAAAAAAGGTTATTAAAACACAATAAATATTACGGAACAGTTTATCTTATCTTCTTCTCTTTTATATAGGCAAAATAAAATGAAACATTTTGAAACAGATAAAATAAGTTATCGCATAGAACTCTAAGAATAAAACAGTATACATATTACGTTGTCAAAATTTCCTCGCATTTAATTTTTTAGTCTCGGTCTCTTATCAAATCGTAAATGAGAACAAAACATTCTAAACTTAATCACTTGGGATTTATTTTTCGGCATTCGTTTCAGGCATTTGTTTTTTATGTTCTTCTACTGAAATGTATTTGTTTGACAATAATCAGAGAAACTGCGTATACGTATAAAACAAACGGGTGTGACTTCAATTTCTTGTCTGTCTTAGGACATATTGGGAACGAGGTAGAATTAAAAAATTCTTATGAACGAGTCATGCAAGATACTAGAACTAGTAAAGTTATTTATTGGATAAGTTAATTTCTGATGGATCTGGATAAAATATGTTTCAAAACTTTGTCAACACTAGATAACTTCATTTAGGCAGATATAGTATCTTGATATATTTGGCTATCATGCGTTTAAAATATGTTCCTAAAACATGAAGACGTTAGGTGAGAAATAGTGCTATGATTGTACGTTCGAAAAGTATTTGGTTGTATTTTGTAGTTCTCAAGTTACCCATGAATTTTCGTGGGCTAAACATTAGATAATTAACGTCTTGACTTAGCATATTTAGCCTAATTTTGCAATGATGTCAACGTGATTCAAATGTTATGCTGTTGTGATTCGCAGAGGTTGCGACAAGATTCGTTTTAAGAAATTGTATTTTTTAGAAAAGATCCCCTAATTTTCGGAGAACTGGGTTTCGGACAACTGGGTTTCGGACAACTGGGTTGACCCCACATTTTTCAACACAATTCTCGAAATCGCTGTTCCCTCTTCAAAAGAGGAGACGCGAAAATCTTTCCTTATAAGGTCAAAATATTTCCCATGATGCAGTTCGAGGAGGAACAAATTTATACTTCCTTGTTTTCCCTCATAGGTTTAACATGGGGATTTTAACACCTATTTTTCAAACGATCTATTCGTTCATATTCCCGTACGAGGGTACAGAAAAAATTATTAGAAACGATTGATCTTTTATTAATCTTCATATAACAGCTATTTTTTCATTGTATTGATTCATAGCGTGGTGAAAAACGATGATTGAAAAGTGAGAAAATATTCCGGAAGAGAAGGTCACATGATCAGTTGACTAGTCGCCATATTGGAAAAAACAATTCCATTCGACTTTCAATACTTTCATGCCAATCTTACCTCACTACAAACTGCATCATCGATGCAACAACGGAATACAAGTATTCATCATCAAATTACATCATAGAGTTACGTTGAAAACCAACAAATAACTGAGCAGTAGACCAAAGAAGAAGCGTCGCTATTATCTAGGTCACTCTGTTTAGTGGTCCGAAAGCAAATCTATAGTACTCGTTTCCGAATTTTGTTGTTCATTGTACAATCTTTAATTGATTAAACTTGGTATACAGACTATTAAAGCAATGACAAAGAAGAATACTTCCGATGTTGTCATTCTTTTATTTAGCGTGCGGGTGTAAAACAAAATTGCGTAATTAGTTTGATTTAGAACTTTCGGGTCACGCAAATTGCTACACGAAATGCATAGTGAGAAAATATAAACCAATCAAATTTTGTCCTTTTTGAGTGCTTTTTCAGTACATATTTGCGAACGTTCTGATTCAAAGAGCGAATCGCGAAAGGGAGAATTACTATAATATAATAACTTTCCTGTAATAACACTTCTTTATCTTCTGTTCAAGGGTGTGATATTGTTCACAGTGTGTTTTATTTGTTATTCATCTCCAATTATTTGTTATCAATAATTAAGATATGAATAACAAAGGAGTGTGCTTGGATAAATTATTTTCACTTGTTACTTTTAGTTTTGCCTTGGAAAATTGTTTAACTTAATATCCTATGGTAATGGTAAGGATAGTGATTCAAGTACGAATTCCAGTCAGTTAATGCTGTTTATAGAGTATTTTATATTTTCTAAGCTAATATCCCTCCACCTGCTCTGGTGGGATTCAGCATATTGTAATGACATAATTGGTAAGTGATATTAATTTACGTAGTAAAATCCCCAAATTTTATGTAATTTTGGTTTTTATAAGTTAATAATACTTACCTATTAGAGAGATTTCGCACATAAGTGAAAATTCAACTTATACGTATAGGTATAGTTTAAAGGGTCATGTCGAACTATTATATTTACTAAAATCAATCTTAAATTGTACTTCATGGAACATAACTATTCCCGATATAGAAAAGCTCCATCAACCAGAGACTGTGAATGCACAGTCATCTGCACGTGTAGATTATGCACATTTTAATTAAATGCTTGCTTCCCTGTCTTAGTAGTTGTAGTGTATTATAAACACGATCCTTTAAAGTGAGTCATGATCCTTTAAAGTGAGTCATTACATGAACAACAGCCAATATAAATCCTTGTATTAGAAACCGGTTTGTCTTGCTTTGTTTCATTTGTAGGATATTTCATATTCCAAGCTGTGTGCTATTACGTTATGGGGAAATTTAGATGCCAATTTTTCCTTATTATACACAAATAGAAGATCCTGAAACTTCACCCATAAATGTGGAATTGATTTGTCAAAATAAAAATCACCATTTTATAAATGTGTGACGATCTATAATATACTTATGCTATATAACAGTTAGAGGTGTTGACACAACGACCTCGAACCTCTGAACCCTTGAGTATTATTCCGGGATCGGGCCTTTTATACTAAACGGTGAGCAACACCAGAAACGAGCGTTCGATTTGCTAAACGATATGCGTCACCCTTTAACCATCAATTTGAAACACCAATCAAACCAGTAGGTTCTAGCAATTTCTGGGAACGACCCATTCAGTAGCTCAACAAATGACATACAGGGTGTTTCATAACGAGCATCTCCAAAAAGTCAATTTGAGAAGAGATGGGTCTATATGTATGTACTATATATGAGTCTATTTTATTCTAGACAAACACATTTGGATCAACTAAACATGCTACAATTCAAGAAAGTACAAATGGCATCCTTTTGACCTTTATTTATTACAGTCCGAGAAGATCTTTCCTGACGAAAAGTCCACATTATGAAACACCTTGTACGTTTTCTTATAAGTATAAGTATACGTTATAAGTTGTATTTTAGGTATGTGCGAAATCTCTCTATTATGTCATTACATCAAAAGCCCTCCCTTGCCACCCTGCTTATCAGCTTTAAAATAAGCATTTCACCTAGTGAAAAATGGATGGTGCGCATGCGCAACTATGACGTAGACAGTTGCCCCAGGGTATTTCAACATAAAGGGACTTCCTAGGGGGGTACAGGGGCCAACCGGGAAGGTTCCTTTCAATTTTAAAATGAGTTGCAAACCATAGATCTATTTTTAAATGTTAAGGTTTAAAATTATATTATATTCAAATTCTATCACTGTTTAATTATATATCTGCTTTATATGGGCTTATTAGCCTTTTGCAGATTATTGACATAGACACAGACAACATAGGATTTTTTGTTTTTGCAATTTTTTGCACTTTGTCACGCCTTGGACCCCCTGTATCTTCATAAATAATATTCTCTGATCACAGTGCTTCAAAATTAAGAATATCTTTGCATTCTCTCCCCCTGCAATAAGCAGTTAGCATTTCGCCAATTAAGGATTGGGTGAACTACTGTATGTATGTGAACTAACTGACCAATCAGAGTGTGTTCTTGATGTAAATTGGATGTATACTAAAGTGTAAACTAAGTGTAAACTTAGGTGTAAATTAGCTCATTTGCATGTGAAATTGGTGAAATGATAATTTTAATCTGACCTGTTGTTAATTGTTACATGTATGTGTAAAAAAGTTGGACACACTTCAACAAGGTGTCAGTATATGGTATATAATAAGGTCTCTAACATCTAAAGAGTTCAATGTCCAACGCACCCCATCCCCATATGTTTGCTGGAATTATCATGATAAGATATTCCTCCCAGCTATAACCTTGCTACACTGTTACAGCCATGTTGAACCCTTGTTTTCCCGACAAACAAAAGTTTGTTAGGGATATACTGAAGCCCTCCGTCCATCCATCAGTCAGTCCATCAGTCAGTCCGTCTGTCCAAAAGATAGCTTGAATACTTGTAGATTTTCTTAATATTTGGAAGATGTACATTTGTGAATAGTTTTATCCAACAGAATGGGCGTTTATCAAGCCTGCAAATATGAAGAAAAGATAATACAGAACATTATGTTTTGCAGTGCTGGTTTTGAGATCATTGAAGATTGTCCGAACCCAGATGTGGTCTTAGTTTGCTGTGGGGGTGGAGGTTTAGTGGCTGGAATAGCTGCTGCTATCAAACTGTCAGGCTGTCGAAACACAAGAGTGTATGGGGTTGAACCAGAAGGAGGTAATAAGTTGTCCCAAATCCCCATCCATAAGCTAGCTACACCTGCTATGGCTAGTCCACCCGCTATGGCTCAGTGGCAGAGAGAGTCAAGGTTACCAATATCGCTTGGCCCCGGGTTCGATTCCTGGTTCAGACAAGTTTGTTTGTGCGTTATGTAATTCTGGGTGTTTGACTGAGTGGTTCCCGACTCGTATAAAAAGGCTGTGGTGTATACCTGTATGTCTGTGTACCTGTGCACGTAAAAGAAAACAGGGCTCCTCCAAGGAGGGGTTTCTGGCTCTATCTTCGAGTGTAAAATACTTAACATACGGAATATACCAATGAGGTATTGCTCGCCAAATATGGCAGTAACCAAGATATAATAATAACTAGATGTATAAGATTGCAAGCAATCTTACGGAGGCCCCGTAGGCTTTTTTGAACATTTAAAGGTCAGCCAAAGATCAAATCTTAAAAACAAGGTCGTATATGAACTCCAGGCATCTTGTAGATGATTTTTAAAAAAAAGTTTGGTCAATTTGAAGCAATGTGAAATTTGACCTTGAAAAATTTCAACATTAGACCTTTTTCAGTTTTTGAGGTCCAATATCTCAAAACTGGTGCAGAATTTTTATAGATAATCGATTGTTAATATGTGTAAAGCCTTTAGAGGAATATATATCCTGACTTTGATTCAAAAATATTGATTTGTAGTCACAAACTTTGAGAAACTTAGAAAACACAGTTTGTGATCTTGTTTGATGACCTTGACCTTTGACCTTGAAAATTTTACGTTTTTAGAGCTCAGTATATCTTTTCTGATTGAATAAACCTAAATTTGAATCCAGAAAATCAATTTGAAAAATCAACTTTTTTGACCTTTCGAAGGTCACTGAAGGTCAACTAAAGGTCATAGGTCAAAACTAAGGTCAGATTTGAGTTCCTGAGATCTTGTTGATGCTTTTTAAAAAAAAGTTTGGTCAATTTAGAGCAAGTTGAAATTTGACCTTGAAAAATTTCGAAATTTGACCTTTTTTCAGTTTTTGAGTTCTTATATCTCAAAACTGGAGCAAAATTTTAATAAATAGTCAATTGCTAATATGTGTAGAACCTTTAGAGGAATATATATTCTGACTTTTAGTAAAAAAAATTGATTTGTAGTCTCCAATTTTGAGAAACTTAGAAAACACCGTTTGTGATTTCGTTTGATGACCTTGACCTTTGACCTTGCAAATTTTACTTTTTTAGACCTCAAAAGGTCTTTTGTGAATAAATTTACCTAAATTTGAATCCAGAAAATCGATTTGAAAAATCAACTTTTTGACCTTTCGGAGGTCACTGAAGGTCAACTAAAGGTCAAAGGTCACAAGTAAGGTCAGATTTGGAATCCTGAGAACTTGTAGATGTTTTTTAAAAAAAAGTTTGGTCAATTTGAAGCAAGTTGAAAAATGACCAATTTTTACCGTTTTTTGACGTCAATTATCTCAAAAACGGGAAAAAATTAACGCGAACATATAGTGAGTAATTTGTAGGGAATGCTTATATCTAGTTACATTATAATTCATCGCAAGAAATAATTAGACTCCAGATGAAATCTGGAGTCTATTGTTTTCGTTACTTTTCTTATTCTTATTAGACTCCAGATTGAAAATCTGGAGTCTATTGTTTTCGTCAGTTTTCTTATTCTTCTTCTTATTCTTATTAGACTCCAGATGAAATCTGGAGTCTATTGTTTTCGTCAGTTTTCTTATTCTTCTTCTTATTCTTATTCTAAACCAGTTTTCTCAATAACCATAAGGTTTTCAGTAAAGTCAGTCATTTGGTCAATTAAGGTCCAGAATCTAGTTCCTCGGAAATTGGGTCAAATTTTTATCTAGGTCAAAGGTCAAGAACTAGGTCAAATCCAGTACTTTGTCACTTTTTTCGATTTTCTCGGTCATCCTTCAATATTTTCGATCCGGGTTTTTTTCATTGTGTTCCTTATAAAAAAGTAGAAAACCTAGGGTCGATTTAGTTTTTTGATATCTCAAACAGATTTCGAGATATCAGTGTCCGAAAACGAGGTCCAAAAAAAAGTTCTTCGAATCAAATGTCCAGGATATTGGTCTTATAGGAAATTTTATCAGGATTCCGAATCTGAAAATCAAATTCGAATCAGACTTCCGGTTCGGAAGTTATGGCGTTTTGAAAGCTCAAAAATCGCTAAATTTGGTGCCCATGTTAAGTCAATGGGGAAAAAGATTTTTTTGAAGTGAAAAATACGAAATATAGACTGAGTTCAGCTAAGTATAATGAAAGCCTATGAAAGAAGGGAACCTCGAAGGCTACCTAACTTCAAAATTTGGACACAAAAATCCCTAGGTCAAAATCTAGGTCAAATTCATAGTTTATCCTTATTTTTGCGATTCTGACACTACACTTTAATTATATTCCTCGAAATTTTGTATGCATGTAGCCAAGAGTGTGCTTATAGTGTTAGCCTTTTGCCGTCAGAAAGTTTTTTGCCCCACTTTTGAGATATGGTGTCCGAAAAGTAGGTCAAAATATAAATTTCTCCAAATTTAACATTTGAGTTATGAATTAAGAGTAGAATTTTCTCAGAAATCCGAATCTGCAAACCAAATTTCAATCAGACTTCCGGTTCCGAAGTTATGGCGTGTCCGAAAAGTAGGTCAAAATAAAAATTCGCCAAATTTAACGTATGAGTTATGAATTAGGGGGAAATTTTTGTCAGGAATCTGAATCTACAAATCAAATTTCGATCCGACTTCCGGTTCGGAAGTTATGGCGTTTTGAAATTTCAAGAAAAATCGATCTGATGGTATCCTGATAGAAAGTCAAGAGTAGAGAAGAAAATATTGAAAAATGCATCCATCCTTCCTTTCTGATCCTATCCTATCCTTCCTATCTACCCTTGCTTCGTTTCCTCTCCTTCCTATTCTATCCCTTCTTCCTATTCTATTCTATCCTTCTTTCCTATTGTATCCTATCGTTCCTTCCTATTCTATCCTATCCTTCCTTCCTTTTTCATCCATCCATCCATCCATCCATCCTTCTTTTTCTTGATGACTTAGTTCATTTTGGATGACTTGGCTTATTCTGGATGACTCGGCTAAAAAAAGTCTAGATCTGGAGTCTGAAATTGAACTCGTTCAATTTCCAAAATCTAGTTATTATTATTATTCTAAACCAGTTTTCTCAATAACCATAAGGTTTTCAGTAAAGTCAGTCATTTGGTCAATTTAGGTCCAGAATCTAGTTCCTCGGAAATTGGGTCAAATTTTTAGCTAGGTCAAAGGTCAAGAACTAGGTCAAATCCAGTACTTTGTCACTTTTTTCGATTTTCTCGGTCGTCCTTCAATATTTTCGATCCGGGTTTTTTTCATTGTGTTCCTTATAAAAAAGTAGAAAACCTAGAGTCGATTTAGTTTTTTGATATCTCAAACCGATTTCGAGATATCAGTGTCCGAAAACGAGGTCCAAAAAAAAGATCTCCGAATCATATGTCCAGGATATTATTCTTATAGGAAATTTTCTCAGGATTCCGAATCTGAAAACTAAATTCGAATCAGACTTCCGGTTCGGAAGTTATGGTGTTTTGAAAGCTCAAAAATCGCTAAATTTGGTGCCCATGTTAAGTCAATGGGAAAAAAGATTTTTTTGAAGTGAAAAATACGAAATATAGACTGAGTTCAGCTAAATATAATCAAAGCCTTTAAAAGAAGGGGACCTCAAAAGCCATCTAGCTTCACAATTTGGACACCGAAATGCCTAGGTCAAAATCTAGGTCAAATTCATAGGTTTTCCTTATTTTTTCGATTCTGACACTACACTTTAATTATATTCTTCGAAATTGTGTATACATGTAGCCAAGAATATGCTAATAGTGTTAGCCTTTTGCCGTCAGAAAGTATTTTGACCCACTTTTGAGATATGGTGTCCGAAAAGTAGGTCAAAATAAAAAATTCTCCAAATTTGACGTTTGAGTTATGGATTAAGTATAGAATTTTCTCAGGAATCCGAATCTGCAAACCAAATTTCAATCCGACCTCCGGTTCGGAAGTTATGGCGTGTCCGAAAAGTAGGTCAAAATAGAAAATCTCCAAATTTAACGTATGAGTTATGAATTAGGGGTAGAATTTTGTCAGGAATCCGAATCTGCAAACCAAATTTCGATCCGACTTCCGGTTCGGAAGTTATAGCGTTTTGAAATTTCGAGAAAAATCGATCTGATGGTATCCTGATAGAAAGTCAAGAGTAGAGAAGAAAATATTGAAAAATTCATCCATCCTTCCTATCTCATCCTACCCTATCCTTCCTATCTATCCTTCCTTCATATCTTTTCCTTCCTATCCTTCCTATCCTATCCTATCCTTTCTTCCTATTCTATTCTATCCTATCCTTCTTTCTTATTCTATTCTATCGTTCTTTCCTATTCTATCCTATCCTACCTTCCTATTTTATTTATCCATCTCTTTCTAGATGACTCAGCTTATTCTGGATGACTCGGCTTATTCTGGATGACTCGGCTAAAAAAAGTATAGATCTGGAGTCTGAAATTGAACCTCGTTCAATTTCCAAAATCTAGTTATTATTAGACTCCAGATTGAAAATCTGGAGTCTATTGTTCTCGTCAGTTTTCTTATTCTTCTTCTTATTATTAGACTCCAGATTGAAAATCTGGAGTCTATTGTTCTCGTCAGTTTTCTTATTCTTCTTATTATTATTAGACTCCAGATTGAAAATCTGGAGTCTATTGTTCTCGTCAGTTTTCTTATTCTTCTTCTTATTATTATTATTAGACTCCAGATGAAATCTGGAGTCTATTGTTTTCGTCAGTTTTCTTATTAGACTCCAGATGAAATCTGGAGTCTATTGTTTTCGTCAGTTTTCTTATTCTTCTTCTTCTTATTATTATTCTTTTTCTAAACCAGTTTTCTCAATAACCATAAGGTCTTCAGTAAAGTCAATCATTTGGTCAATTTAGGTTCAGTATCTAGTTCCTCGGAAATTGGGTCAAA